TGATTGTTTATGTTTAGATCCAGCAATATATTCATGAAGACCAGTGTGGCTAATATGAACTTGAGATGTCAGGTATATCACCTTGTTAGCATAGATAACATTTGGCCCAGTCAGACTGTTCATAGAACCATCAGCTCTGGTGTAGGCAATGGTTGAAGCAGAGGTTTTTGTTTTGTTTTTCCCTGATGTGCTACGATTTCAGCTGCATTGCTTCAAAAGTTGATAATCAAGATTTTGTCTGTTGATTTAAAAGAACAGCAGGGAGAAACATTGATAGAGACTTAGTGGATTGTCCTGCTCAATGATTACCTACAGGTATAGGAAACAGGCCTAAGTGAGCTGAGCAGAAAAACACAAGGCAGCTGGAGAGCATCTTAGAAATAGAATTGAGGTTTTCATTTGCTTATTGTGGGTATTGTAGATATCTGGGTAAGCATGAGTAAAGCTAATAAACTAGGGTTTTTTTTTTTAAGTGGGTTACTTCTGGTGTCTACAAAGCCTGAAGAAGATATCAGGAAGTGCTTGTCTTAGCTGAAGTGCCTTTGAGCAAGACAGCTCCCACCTGTTCCATAGGTTTTGTTCTTCTGACATGCTATAGAGAGATTAAGCAAGTAACATAAAGAAAAATCCAAAACTACAAAAAAAGAAAAAAAATTCAACATCATCTCATGTCATTTTTCACATTTCATCCCAGGATTAGACAACTATTCATCTCCAGTGAAGTGCAGACATTTAATCTCAATAAATAGGAATGTGAAGCACAGTGAAGGACAAACTCTGGAGTCGTAACGAGAGAAGAAGCTTCGATGGCAGAGACTTGATCAAGCCTCCACATACTGCATCTCTTAGCAGGGCTGTCGGGAAAGCCTTGGCCATGGACCCAGAGCAGACCACTGATGTCTCCCACAGGCTATCAGGATGTTTTACAAGACGGGTGTGGGTTTTTCTAACCGTGATACATACCGTTCCCACTTTGTCTCAGTCCATGACATGACCTCATGTCAAACTGTGCCAAAATCTCCAAGTTTTAAGTTGCTTTGCTTTGTGGCAAACATGGCTATTTTTAAATAGCAAGCCTGTCTCACTGGTTTTAGACACAGTGAAGTTTTTCAGTGTTAAAATCCATCATTTAGTTGCCTAAATGGGAGAAGACTGGGTTCTACAAGTTACAGTAAGTACTTTTCAAACAACAGTTGCTCTGTTGATCATGACACTATCTTCATTATATACTTTAAATTCATCATCTCTAAGGGCTCATACCACCAGATACTGATATGTAGTTTGACCACTCTGTTTCAATCGTTGTGGTTCTTGAGCTAAGTCTAATGATGTTTTGAAACCTTGGGTTGATGTAACTGATTACTGTATATATTGATACTATGCCCCTCAGTAGTATGTGAAGGAGAAACTGAGACTATGAAAAAATGTTCTCTTTGCACTGGGTTTAATATCTTTGCTGTATACTAGAAGGAACACTACTTATTAACAATGTCTCTAATTTTAAATATTTTGTAATTTCATAGTCTTATTTTTCTTTTAACAATTATTTGCCATTTTAGAAAATACACATATTCGCTTTCTTGTTGAGTGAAATAAAACGATTGATACCACTCTCATTTCTAAGTGCTGGCCGGGAGGTGATTAATCTACCTCAGGATAAAAACTGGAAGCAGGGGGAAAGAGCCTGGCTCTGTCCCAAGCTAAAAAAAATGCACCAACCAACAACTTGAAGACACTAAGTAACAAACTGTATCTCATTGCTCCAGCTGTTGATTACCAATAAATAGGCTATAGTGTATTACAACTCCAGGTAAAACAAAAACAGTGGCCCTCTTAGCAGACCACTGTAGCCAGAGCTTTGAGCCAGTCTAGCTGTTTCCCTACTTGCAGCCTATGTGCCAGTTAGGTTACACTGGCTTCTTTAGCTTTGTTAGGTTAATTGCTTCCTGGTTCCAGTTCGACACTTATCTCACAGAAATGACAGTGACTATGATCATCTCACTTCAGTTTTGGCAAGAGTGTGTTCCCCAAAATGTTGAACTATGCTTTAAAGTGGAATCGAATGTAAAGGCATTGGAGCAGTTAGCTTCCACTCAGCTTTTATGTGTGTATGAGGCGCGTATGTATTTTATTAACTTTCCTTAAAATGAAATCTGTAATAGTAAAGATCGCTCGTAGATCTCTGTGGATCTTTAATGGGTAAAATTTTACACTTTGCTGTACCAGTGACAACAGTAAACACAAAACCCTCCCTCCAACACTTATGTTATTTAACAAAATTGTGAAAATAAAAATGAAAATTTGTACTGTTTGTGTTGAGAGAATAACAACTCAGCATTTGTAGCCACCGTAGAGGTCTCCCTGTATGTGTTCATGTAGCATCTTTCCTGTAATAGTTTTTGTATTTAGTGGGAGCAAAAAGCCAGTCTTCCTTCATGAATTTATCCTGCATCTGTTCTACATTAGTCCTACAAACAATACTTTTTTTTTTACATGAAATAGTAGAACAAAATAGAGTATCTTGTACAGTGAAACCAGTTATATTTACCACTCTGTTCCTTGTGGCTGCCATTATAAAAGTAGATTTTCCAAACATTTCCTTTAGAGGACGGAGCCACAGAGCAGCAGCAGTTCAAGCTTAAAGTATTACTTCTACATCTGCATTTGACATTCTTTTCTGTTGACACCAAACAGAGTCTTGTTTCCATTTTAATTTACTGTGACACACACAAAACATCAAAGAGACAAGCATTTTTTGGAGTCGTGCAATAACTCGGGGGCTTTTGGTAATAATTATCTGAAGAAAGAAGGAAAAAAATTGAAACACCCAAAGATTTGGGGATTAAAACAAAGGACATTTTCTTAGCAGACATATAAGTACAAATTAAAACCAGGATTTTCCCAGAAGTGTCATTTTAACACTTCTAAATCTGACAGGGATTATTTTTATATTTTGTAAGTGTAGAAAAATGGTTTGTTTATGTTTATATTTGAAAATTATGGGTTGGTTGTAAATGGATCTGTTCAGTTGTATAAAAATGATTTTACAAAATAAACTCTTCTAAGGTTGCATTTTGGTTTGTGAGTCTCTGGATCAACACATTTAAATGACCAAAAACTATGTCTCCATTGTTTCTTACGTTTTGACACAAAGGAAGATTTGTATTCATATCTAAGAGCTGACCAGCACAACTGATTTTAGCAATTAAAATAACAATAAGCAGTTGATGGTTTTGGAAACACTTTGGCTGATGGAATTCTATGAGCCAAGATGTGATTAGCACTGTAGGAAAATGTCTCCATGCAAGCACATCCGCCTTATTTTCCACTGTGCCATAAGTTTGCAGGCATGCCTCCTGTTTACAGACAGGAGGGTGTGTAAACCCTGCACAAGGTTTTCAGTGTTAACCCACTTGTGTCAGTATGAGATGCCAAAGGTGCTTCACTGAACATACAGTATATGTATGTAAACACCTTGGCTTTACACACAGGCACAAACACTACCTGGTTAAATATAGGTACACAACTAAATGGTTAGGGTTAGGAAAAAAATGGGTTAAAACACACTGATTATAAATATAACATCATTCTAAGGGGCTGTTCACATAACACATCTTTAGCATTCTCAAATTCATTATCTTAAATGGAGACACACGACAAATGCGCTCACATCAAAGAGCGACGCCCCTTCGCCCTTTTTTCCCATGTCCCTCTTTGCCACACCAACATTAAAAAATCTAAAAATGCACTCAGAATACAGAAAGTGCAACATCGGCCATGTGACAAGAACAAACCAATCAGCATCATCCTTTCTGTAACATCTGGTTCAAACCTCAGCCAAGATGGAGGACAGAGTGTCTGGATCTTTTGGTGAAATTCTCAGTGTTTTCTTTGTCTTAGAAGGATGGGGTGCACCAAAACTACCCCCCGCCCCATCCCTCCCCCGAGCCCTTCTTTTTCACAAATGACTATAGTAAGAGTGCTACTGCAAGGCATTTTTTGTGCTGTATTTTTAAAAAAAATCAATTTGCAAACCTAAAACCGTTTTCCCACTGGATACTTGAGAAAACTTCCAAAATTCCTCCCGCTCACCTGTGGGTTGTGTCGCTGCCTTCCCAAGTAACCAGTCTGCATGCTGCCCACCGGAAACAGCTGATCAGTTACCTGCACCTGTTTTTGTGTAATTAGTTTTTTTCTTCTTTATTCATAACAAAGACAGGGACAGTACAATACAATGAACTATTTACATTGCCAGGGTTTTACAGTTTAAGATCGTCATATAAAACAGAACATGTTTTAGTTGCTTTCACAGTGTTAACATTAGATAAGATATTACTAACATTTTAATTCATTATAGAACTAAACAAAGGTTGGCTTGGAATTCATTCATTTTACCTTGTTAATAGAATGTCTTTCCAGTAAAATAATTAATTGAATAATAAATAACATTTTTGTGTCAGCCTCAGTTTTCTCAAAATAAAACAAAACATGGAACAGATCAACATTTATAACAGTCCCATGTGTGCATGTCAGAAAATTGTCAACCTGAGTCCAAAACTCCTGAAATTTATACACTGAAAAAACAAATGTGGATTTTTTTTTCTAGTCCACAAGAAAAAAACACCTCTGATCCAACTCAAAAGAAGTTTGACCAAAAATGTAATGCGGGAGGTGAAACAATTTTTAAAAATTGTCTTTAATAAATCTGTTAGTATATTTTTCTTTTACTATGTTAATATCACCCAAAAATATAATATTTACAAATTCATTAACATCTGGGCCTAAACCTCCATAATCTCTTAAATGTATCAATACAACTTCAGAGATTGCATCAAACACAAAAGCATATTCATTTGGTTTAATAGGAAATTGGAAATGATGTACAAAATCCTTAGAAGACAGTAAACATCCATTCAT